CGCAGTTACACAGCCCCGTAGCCTGAGCCCCACAAGCCTGAGTCAGCTAACAAAGGCAGTCACAGGTGTTTGACTGCAGTATAGACATACCCTTAGAGCCTGCTAGTGCTTTTTTAACATTTAACCTGACAGAAATGCAGCTGTTACACTCATCAGTTTAAAGGAGGTTTTAACTCAACCCACAACACTACATTATAGATTGTGAGCTGCTCAGATCCTATGTATCTTTTCTTGTTGATGTACACATCCTTGAGCTGTACACCTTCGTTAGTGCCTTCAAAACTTTCCCTCATTATCCCTTCTATGTATATATTGAATAGTTGCAGAGACAGGATACAACTTGGGTGTACACCTTCCCTGATGCTGTGTTTGGCTTGCTGCTTTCTGTCCCCGGTACGTAATTGTATTTGATAATGACAGCTGTTGGCACAGTCTGTAGATACTTCTTTATTAATAGCAGTATTCCAGTAGCACCTCTAGGCTCCATTGGTTTGGTGCTGAACATACACAGAGGGCAGCTCGACACTACAAAGTTTTGTTGGCAGAGCTATGTCGGTCAAAGATGTGAAAAAAACCACCCCCTAGCCGACAGCTATGCCAGCAAAACCCCTGGTGTGGACACCGCTCTCCCAACATCAGCCTGCCTCTGTTAACATAGTTGGGCTGGCTCTGTTTCTAAAACTTAGATCGACCTAGCTGCATCGTTCAGGACTGTGACAAATTTTGTCCCCTGTGCGAGGAGGTAGCTCAACCTAACCCCTACTGTAGACGCAGCTACATTGCCAGAATAATTCTTCTGTTGCCCTAGCCCTGTAGTGTAGTGTGGACATGCCCCTAGAGTCATTCGGGGAGGGGGGGTTATGCCAACAGAATAACGTCTTCTGGCAACATAAACTGCGTTTACATTAGAGGGTTCTGCCAGTACAGCTATACCAGCTAAGCATTTGTAGTGTAGACAAGGCCATAGTAAGAGAATCCTCATCCCAAAGAGCTTGCAGAGCAGTGTAAATAGAGGAGACAGCAAGGCCGGGCGTGTGAGCAGAGGCACACAGCAGGTTATTGGCAGAACTGGGCATAGAACCCTGATCTCCAATGCCAAAGTCACTGCCCATTCTGCCGCTAGTTATGGCAGAACCCACACGCAGGGCAGAAAATAAGACTCTAATCAGTAATCACACTGGGCCCTTCTCAGGGTATAGCTGCAGCTCCGCTGCTGTCAGCAATGGAAGGGGTTTGCCATTGGTGTAGTTAGTTCACCTCTCCAAGAGGTGGCAGCGAGGCTGACCGAAGAATTCCTCCATGGACCTCGCTGCATCTACAGTGGGGATTAGGTCGACCTAACTACGTAGGGCTTGTCTATGCTTGAAAATAAATGCTACAGCTGCATAGCCGCACTGCTGTAGCACTTCAGTGTAGCCATTCAACGGGAGGGGTTTTCCTGTAGGTAGAGTTAATCCACGTCCCCAAGAGGTGGCAGCTAGGTGGACAGAAGAATTCTTCCAGCAGCCTAGCTCCCGCCTCTTGGAGAGGTGGGTTAATGGATGGAGAAAAGCCCTCCTGTCAATGTAGGAAGCATCTACGGGCAAGCGGCACAGCTGGAGCTCCATACCTGTGCCATTGTAGCAGCTATAGTGTAGACATAAACTGAGTCTCCTTTACAGATGAAGGGGCTTGTCCACTGTCAAGGTGGATCAGCAGCAGAACCAAGTGGCAATAGAAGGTTTTTGCGTGGTTGCTCTAACCGGATCTTACAGTCCTTCCCCAGAGAAAGGAGATGGCCCAGGAGGGACCCTGCTTCTTCATCTGTTAAGTGATAACTCTTTAGTGAATGAACCTGCACTTCTGGTTTCAGAGACTTTCACTCTGGCAGAAACATGGGGAAAAAACATAAATTAAAAGGCACCAATGTAATGATTGGACTTGGCCCGTATTTTGCTGTGTCCTCTTTGCTATTATTTCCGATAGTTGTGCTCTTGCTCCAGCCTTGTGGTGAAATCACATGCCATGACAATGCCATGGAAAGATCACATTCTTGTCATGGCAACAGACGGTCAGCTGGATATGGATACAGTAAGCGTTGTCCTTAACCTCTGCCCCACACTCAACCTCCACCCCCCGCTCAACCTGCCTCCAAACAAGCACACCTTCAGTTTCACGTCCCTCTGCAGAGGCTGGGATCAGAAGCAGAACCATCCCAATAGCACAGCGGGGCTGTTTTTACAGTATTTCTGGCCTGACTCAAAAGAAAAATGACCCAGGATCTCCGGGGAAATCCTGTTCCTGAGCCATTTCCAGTCCCAGATCAACCGGACTAAGGAGAGGTTTGTGTGAGATTTGTCTCTCACGCTGAAGGAAACGGACCATTACAGAGGCAACCCTTGTTAAACACATCTTAAGTGAAAGGTTCATTAAACCAGGGTGGTTTCATCTCTCTTCCAGTCACAGAGTGCAGTTTTTAGGACACATAGCAAGCGGAGAGTAATATTCTGGGCTTTCATGAGGTTGTGTTTGTGAGGAGGGTGTTAATATTAGGAGCCACACCAGGAACAAACAAACACACAGAAGAAATCATTTAAATTCACCATCCAACTTCTGCTATTGGCTGAGATCGCAGATCAGCCAGACGCTTCTTCTTAGTCCATAACAAGAGTTACAGACAACTGCCATCTCTTGCAACCTTCCACATGACAGTATCCGTTCTATGCGAGGTGTAACCTGCTATGGGATAGGAAATAACCCAGACCCAACAGCACTGATGGCACTTTGCATTTTAATAGCTACACAGAGCCATTTAAACAAAGAGGCTCAAATGGCTGACTATCCTCTCTGGGGCTGAAATGACTGGCTGCCTCTCTCTTTCGTTCAAAAGCTATTTACAAAGAAAATGATATGGTTTTTACTCCTCTCTGCCTCTAAGGACATGATGATAAAAACCGAGAAATTGACATAATATTATATCAGGGAGACAAGGCGGGTGAGCTAATATCTTTTATTGGACCAACTTTCGCTGGTGAAAGAAAGAGACAAGCTCTGCAGCTACACAGAGCTCTTTGTCAGGTCTGTGACCGGAAGAAGCTGGAAAGCTTGTCTCTTTCACCAACAGAAGCTGGTCCAATAAAAGATATTAGCTCACCCGCCTTGTCTCTCAAATATCCTGGGACCAACACAGCTACAAATAATATTATATCCTCTGTTATAATAATTGCCCTGACAAACACTCTAGCAGGAGCATCGGCAAGCACATGTGGGAAGAGCTAATAAGGAATGACAGGCTTCAGTGATACATGAGAATTTCTGTAGTACTGGCTATTTTTATGACCAAAATGCTCCCTGAGCTGTCCCCGAAGCCCCATTGAATTTGCTGCTTAGAACCAGCAAGATTAAGCAGAAACAACCAACTTCTCTGCTCATGCAAGCCATGAAAGCCTTTCCAAAGCCTCCCCCACCCATGCATGCCTGGGAACTGCTCTGGAGGCAGCTCGTGGGCTCAGCACAAGGTGTGCTGGGCAAGCAGGATAGTGCTGTCGGGGAGGATGAGGCTACACAACATGGAGTTCGGGATCAGGGGTGTAGAAGGCCTGCAGGGCTGTATCAGCAGTGTCAGGGACCCCACGCACATCCTCATTCCCCAGGAACGTCTACTGCAGGAAGCGATCCTTGCTTTATTAAACCCAAATTCGACCTGCACCCACACAGCCCCAGAACGAGAGCTTCTTTCCTCATGAGGATTTAATGCTGATGAATTTATTATTATTTTTATTGTCGTAGTGCCTAGGAACTCTAGTCATGGACCGGACCCCAGTGTGCTGGGCGCTGTACATGATTAGGTGTATTACGGTAACACTACGGAGCCATAGTCATGGGCCAGTTGCGGATTGGTCCTGCTTTGAGCAGGGGGTTGGACTAGATGACCTCCTGAGGTCCCTTCCAACCCTGATATTCTATGATTCTATGACCAGGACCCCAGTGTGCTGGGTGCTGTACATGATTAAGTGTATTACGGTAATACTGCAGAGCCATAGTCATGGACCAGGACCCCAGTGTGCTGGGTGCTGTGCAAACAATGAAAACTGCTGTTTTGGCAGCCCAGGGCGCTAGAGATCTGCTTATTCCCAGGGCAGGTACAGCATGGGCAGCAGCAGGGCAATCTTCCAGTCACAGTGTACCTACCCCTGTCCACAGGCGACCCATAGAGGTGAGAAGGGAGTTTGATCTCCACGGCCATTCACTTCTTGGACCCTCTTTTCAGACTGTCAGTGAAGGAGCCAATCAGTGCCAGTCACGCTTGTGGTTTTGTGCTGTGGAGGGAGACTCCCCAATTGATTTCACATCAGCCGCCGAACAGGCATCAAGTTTTAGTCTCTGACAGTTTGGTCTGGGTCAGGACCTGTGTCCCCAAGAGCATTCCCCAGGTTGTTTCTCTCCCTGCGTAAACTCTCCCGCAGGTCCCCTGAGATTAACACCGCCAGAGGTGCGGCACTTTGGGGGTGCGGAAGCCACAGAGCTACCCCCTTTTCCCCTCTGCAAAAGCCCTGGGGCACCCCATGGGAGTGGGAATCTCTGGGAGGAACCTGCACAGTCCCTTGCCTATGGGAATTAGCAAGGGAGGTGGTGAGAGATCACTTGAGTGCCCAAGCACTATACTGGTGAATCCCTTCCTTTCTGGCTCCCCCACTACGTGGCATTCATTTCCCTAGTACCTTGCTGCAAATTCCCCAGGTTCGAATGCATGAAGCGGAGGCCAGGTGAGCCCAGTAATGCTCACTCCCACCCCCTCTGTCAGCAGGTCACCTAGGTGACCAGCCATACACTGTGAACAGTAAATAGTCAAAGTGAGCCATTAGCAAAGACCCTGGCACTCAAATTTGTTCACATCAACTCTGCAGGCCATTCCAAAGAGCGAAGTCACTCCTGTGAATCAACGTTTACTCACAAAGGATTGACAAACAGAATCAAGGGTGCTATTTATTTGCAATGTAATGTAACCAGCTCCAGTCCGCACTTGATGTAACTGGTTGGAGGGTTCAAATGCAAACCATGCTCCAGTTCCTAGCATATATCCAGTTCCTTAGCACAGTTTGCTGGTCGAGTCGGGGCTAGAATGCCACAGGTTTAGAAAGCAAAAGCCCGTTTCCGTCAGTGAAATTGGCCTCACGCTCATAGCAAATGGCACCAACAAAAACCCACCGGAATCCCTCTTTTTGTTCAAATCTGCCCACAAACCAACCTGTGCTAGCAATGCATCGCTGTGTGTTGGGACACTTCTAAGCAGCTCTAGTTAATTACCCTAATTACAAGATGCCAGGAGGTAATTAGCGTGATTCAGGGCAGGTTTGCCATGGCCGTTCAAGGGTGCCACAGTTCCTCTCATGCTGCCAGGGTGGCATGATGTGAGCAGAAAGGAGCCAGGGCTAGCTGGAGCCCTTTCCTGGTAGCTCTACTGTCGGCTCAGATGCTGGAGACTTCAGAGTGCCCCGGGGAAAGTCAGAGCCCAGCAGACGGCTGGGATTATTATGGGCCTGTCGTCTCGGGGAGCTGCGAAGCATACACAGCCAGCGTGTGATGGAGGAATTGGTACTGTTCACTGGTCTGAATCATTCCACCTCTGGAAGAAGAAAAGATGGTCTGTTGTAAGGTTTAATTAAACTGCAGCCACCTGATCGATTAATTCCTTGGAGAACTCTCAGCTGCATGGGCATTCCAGCCCTGCCTGCTATTCCCAAATAACTACAGTGAAATGCAACCTCGCTGACTTGGAATTCTCTAAGCAGTATTGGGGATTTGGAAGCCTTAGCAGGCGGTTCCCAGCCCGGATTAAAGGACAGAGTCTGCTGATTTTCAATTGTTGCAAATCTGGAGTAACTCCACTGAAGTCAGGATCCCCCTGTTGTAACTGGGATCAGCATCTGGCTCTACTCCAGATTCTTACTGGAACAAGTAAATGCTGCTTCAGCATCTAAGTGTGGATAGCAGTGTTCAGACACGGGATTTGAATGCTCTGTTTGGCGGCCTCATATGAAAAATAAACTCACAGCCTTGAAGCCTTGATACCTAGAACTGGACCATAAGGATAGGATCGGACCTTCCAGCATGTGGGGTCAGAATTCAAGCGGAATTCATTCAGGTTGCAGGGAGCTAGAGCAGACTGAGTCTCTGCTATCCCTGGATGCAATGTATCCCGGGAAAGCCAGCAAGGCATGTGGGGCCCTCCCAATGGACAAGCCCTGGGAGGATGGTGAAAAGGATTGCACTATGCCCACTGAAAGGGGATCCTCTGCGGTTTTGTGTAAATAAGTGAGCATCTCTTTGTAGAGCTCTAAAGCAGTCACTTGAGGACAACCTCACATCTTGAAGTCCCTAAGATCCATTGGCCCTGACTGTGGGAGCCAAAATAGCTTATTGTCTGGCTTGTGGCAAGGGCTGCTCTGAGCTCTGTCTCATAGAGGCCATCCCACATGTAGAACACCAGGGTGGGCGGGCTGAAATGACAAGGATCTGCTGACGTGTCAGGGGCTGTGCTTTGGAGACAATTCCCTGTGCCTTGAGGATGATTATATGGCTTGAGGCAGGTCAGATCCATTAGTGGAACATCCTGCTTAATGCAGGGTGGGCAGTTTGGGTGAGATTTTCAGGTGATCTGCGCTCACAGTTGGAGTCAGGTTTTCTATACGCCCCAGGTTGTTCTGCAAACCTGGCCAGGTATTTTGATGCCCCAAAGGGTGCTGGGTTCTTTTGAAAGCCCAGCCCGTAATGTGGTCCCAATGACACTGGGTCTGGCTAGCTCAGTAGGAAAGTCAATGGAAAGTGGTTTTCATTTGAGACCAGGCTTGGCGCTTGCAGGACCCAGCGAGACACCGACTGGAATGAATCACTCTGTTTTCAAACCTGTCGCTTCCTTCCTGGCCAGCAGGGCAGCGGATCCAAAGACAGCCTCACTGTGCAGGAGGGTGAGCACCGTTCCCTTGGAGTTCTCTTCCTGTTCTCCTGCAGTGTTTGTATACAACCAACCCATCCCACTTCGCTGCTCTGAATCCTTCTCTGCTTCTCTCACCGACCCTCTTAATGCGAGGGCAGTCCCCCCACCAGCTCCTGCTTCTCTCCATCTACAGCTAGTTCCCGAGTGCTTTGGGACCACCAAGCGCTTCCTCCCAGCTCTGCCCAACTCCTCATGCCTAGGTGGCCCGGGCCCCTTGCTGTCACTCTGCACGTACCTGTCTATCCGGAGCTGGCACACTATCCCCAGGATATCCACCTCTCCTTTGGCCTTCAGCTGTTGGCATCCAATCCTGGTAGCAATAAAGCAGCCCGTCCGACCAATCCCTGCACTGAGTGGGACACAGAAGGCAGATCAAACTGAAGCTGGGTGGATGATACAGGACACTGGAAAGCTCCATGGACAGCGCACAAACCCTTTTGTCTCCAGCTCCCTCCTGACCCAGGTTGGTCATGTCTGTGGATTGATCAGCTGCCTGAGGCTAGTTCCTTATGGTCCTTGCTTTTGTCCACATCACAACTGGGTCCCTTGTCTCCAGGATCAGCTATCTGTCTCGCTTAGGTTTATAGCCCCCCATCACTGCAGTATTTGAGCCCCTCACAATCTCAGACACCTGGGAGGCAGGGCAGTGCTTTTACCCTCAAGGTACCAGTGGAGAACCAAGACACAGGGAGGCTCTGGCCCAGATTTCCACTGATGTCAATGGAAGTTAGGCCCTGAGCCAAAGTGACTGACCTAAGGTCACACTGGGAGTCTGTAGCAGAGCTGGGACTCAAACCTGGGTCTCCCAATTCCCAGGCCATCCTCCCACCCTGAGAGGCCAGCTGATGAATTGGCCATGGAGCTTGAAGGGCCAAAGGCTGACTAGGTCAGCGGGACACCTTCCACCAGCCCAGGATTCGCTTGTCAGTAACATGGCGAGTCAGTGAGCAGGCGTGGAAGCTCTGTGGGGAGGTCACTTGCCTAGGGAGGGATTCATGGGGAAGCCAGCAGCATAGCTCAGCCCCAGAAGTGTGCACATGGCACTCAGCCCATTGCACGTGCCTCAGTTCCCAGAGTCCTGCCGTGAAGCCAACCCGCTGCACCCAGGACGAAGGGAGCAGAAGAGACTCCCAACCAGCGTTCACACTCGCGGGTGCAGCGAGGAGAGCAACCGGAAAGAGGGCGGGTTCCTGCCGCATGCTCCTCCTCTACAAGTGGCTCGGCCGAGTGGCCAAAGGTCCCCTCCCAACCTCTGCCAGCCCACCCTACTGTTCATTCAGGCGGAAGCAGAGTCCACACTCCTCCTCCCACCCTGGGGTGCAGGGAAGGCTCTCACCTGCAGTGAACGACCACGGGCCCCGTGCTGGGTGCAGCCTGCAGGATCTGCTCCACCTCCGACACCAGGTGCAGCAGGGGCTTGGCTGACTCGGGGGCCTGCTGGTCGGGCCAGGAGGGGAAGAAGACGTGCTTCACCGGGCGACTTTCACCTTCGAGCTTCCCAGCCATCGGAGTGAAAGAGAAACAAGAACATAGGAACATGGCCTGGCCAGGCTGGATCAGACCCCAGGCCCATCCAGGCCAGTGTCCGGGCTCCGACAGTGGCCAGCAACAGCTGCTTCTGAGGAAGGTGCAAGAACCCCAGAGCAGGCAGACATGCAATAACCTGCTCCCATGAAGGTCTCCTCCTGATCTCTAATAGCTAGAGACCGGGTGAAGCCCTGGGCACCAGGCGCTCTCTCAGTTCCAATACTCTTTGTCTGCATTAACTCGCACACTGGATAGTCTCGCTATCTGTGTAAATGTCCGATCCCTCTTTGACTACGTCCTTGATCTCAATGGCATGCGGATGGATACGGTGAGTACTGTCCTTCCAGTCCCAGAGGGCTCCTGTTCCCAAAGACAGGGACCCAGACACTGGGGCTAAGGCCAGCATGGTCTGACTATGCAGAGCCAGTGGGTCATCGCCAGCAATGCAGACAGGCAGGTCTTTCCTGAGGCTTCACCCGCCGGGATCCCCAGCCCCTGCCCCCCTCCTTCTGCCGACAGGCTATGCACTTGCCAAAGGAAATTCAACCCCAAAGTGTTATGGCTCAAACTCTCCTCTCCATTAAACCGGAGTAAATCTGGACTCACTCCACTGACTCCAGATTTACACCAACTCCATTTGATTCAGTGGCGAAACCCCGAATTGCACCAGTGTCACTGGGAGCAGGGAATGGGTAGGGGCTGGGGATCCAGAGCTCTCCCCTTAACTCTGGCCACTTGTGGGGAGAGGGCAGGTGGGCTGGGAATTAAGGCCAAAGAGGAGCTCTGATGGTGAACTCCTTCTCCAGACAGGGAGAGGAGAGCAGGGCCGGAGCTTCCACTAGACGACCCTAGGCAGTCCCCTAGGGCGGCAGGATTTGGGGGGTGGCATTTTGCCACCCTCGGCGGAAATTCGGCGGCGGGGGGTCCTTCCGCTCTGGATCTTCGGCGGAAATTCGGCGGTGGATCCTTCACTCGCTCCGGGACCCGCTGCCAAAGTGCCCCTAAGACATGGAGCGGAAGGACCCCCGCCGCTGAAGACCCCAGGCCCCCTGAATGCTCAGAGGAGGAGCGCTGCTGCCTAGGGCGGCAAAAACCCTGGCGCCGCTCCTGGAGGAGAGACCCCTCCCTTCTGCAGGGATCAAAACCCCTCCCCATCCTTCCTGGGATGGATTCTTTTACCCATGTCACTGCTGCTCAATCCCACCCTCCGTCATAGAATATCAGGGTTGGAAGGGACCTCAGGAGGTCATCTAGTCCCACCCCCTGGCCAAAGCAGGACCAATCCCCAGACAGATTTTTGCCCCAGATCCCTAAATGGCCCCCTCAAGGATTGAACTCACAACCCTGGGTTTAGCAGGCCAATGCTTAAACCACTGAGCTATCCCTCCCCACTACTGTCCTGGGCTTGGGGGGCTCTGACTCACCTGGAGGGTGAGATCCCGGACTGTGTACTCCGCCTGCTCGCTCACCCCCTGAAGGCGGATGGTGAACAGGCCATAGGTGGCTTCCTTTTCAGGCCAGTAATGGACGCATTTCTGGAAGTGGAAGGCAGGGATTCACCATGAGTGAGCGGCCAAGGGCACCCGCTCGGGGTCTGAGCGCGGCTGGCACAGTGGCTTACGGGGGCAGCAGGGGGCAGTGCTGAGCGTGGGGACACATGATGAACAGGGACATATCGCCGTCCCTTCCCCCATCTTCCAGCGTCCTGCATGTCCCTTCCTGCCCTCAACTCGGGCTCCCCCGACCTCGTAGGTACCAGGCCCAGCAGCAGCCTCTGTGCAGGGCCCCCCACCTGGCTGTGCTCCCCGCAGGCAGCCACGACTGTGCCATCCCACCTCCTGCCCAAAGAAAGAAGCAGCAGGGCAGGCAGAGGACACCTGGAAATCAGCAGAAGCGGCTGGAGTGGGGCAGGGGCAGAAGCTGGAGAGACGGCGGGGTGGCATCCAGGCTGGTTCGGCTGGAACAGGGCCAAGGTGCTGGAATCAGCAGAACCAGCCAGGACCCGGGGCCGGCTGGGGCGAACAGGCCACTGTCCCCTAGTCGGCATTCACGGTGCCAGCTGCCTCTGACCATGGCTGTGCCGCCCACCCCATCCCTCGGGGCTGGCTAAGAGCTCTTCCCAGAGCCAGGCCCGGGAAATGCTAGCGGCTCAGCTTGCTGCTCGCCTGCTCCCCCTCCCGCCAGCTGCCCTGAGCCTCCTTATCCCATTAGCTCATCAGCCAGCCAGCTTCCCAAAGAGCCCTTTGCCCAGAGCCCGTGTGACCAGGGTGCAGGGTAGGGTCAGTAAGTGCAGCTCAAAGTGTACGGTCACAGGGCTCGAGTCCCCTCTCACTCACCCCAGTGTGAGTCAGGAGTAACCCCACTGGGCCCAATCCCCCCC